CGGGCCGAACGGGAAAACATTTGGCTCTCCGTCATGGCGCACGGACCTCGCTGCGCTTGGTCTGTACGTCATGAAATTGAGCCAACCTTTTTCCCGTCCGGCCCGACCAAACTAAGTCGATAAGTACATATTTCGAAAAAATTTCAACAGCGGTTTCAATAACTTTTTCTTCTTGGCGGCTGCTGATAGTATAATGGGCCGCTGTGCCCGGAAAAGGGGCTGTAAGGTGGAAACAAAACATTAGAACCTGCTCACAGGCTAAACAGATGGCGGTAAGAGAGCATACAGGTGGCAGTAGTGTGTAGGTAACTGGCTGTTATTGAAGACCCTGTTACAAAGAGCCAGAATAATTACTGGTCGCCTACACCTTAACAAAATTAGAGATTTCAATAAGCGCAGTTCAGATTGATAACATATCCAAAGAACATACACAAAAAGGTCTTAATTAACAGTATCCCTGAAAACTTAAAGAAAAGGAAACTTTTTTAAGGAATATTTTGGACAGTTGCAGAGTCACTGGATTTAGTTTACAGGCAAGGAATCATTGTTGGTTGGTGCTGAACCCATGATTTATTCAGAAAAATGAAACAGCTCTCCCACAGGTGTTCATTTCCATTCCCATTGATTCCATACCACGTAAATTACAATATTATGTCACTTTTTAATTTTTTTACAGTGCATTACAGAAACCTTTTCCTAAATATAGAGTAAAGAAGCCAAGTCTTGAGTCCTTCAAGAAAGAGCGAACCCTTTTTATTCCATTTCATCTTTTTATTTCATTTCATTCAGTACCTTTTTTTCTAATATATATTTTTTTGTTCTAACGATCCTCCATAAGTGTTTCCCTGTAGAGAGAGGTGGAGTAATAACGGAAAAGAACATGAGCATCGTAAACTTACCAGGCAGAATATTTCTGACAGTCTCCACATCTCCCTTAGTGACAGCCCTCTGGAGATCTTCACTGGTTTGAGGTTTCTTTGTGGTTGACACAGTGACAACAGCACTCCAGGCACTTGAACCAAAATCATTCATACACTTCAGTCTGTATCGGTACTGTGTGCGAGCCTCCAGGCCTTCAAAAACATTCCTGTTGAAAAGAAAGGAGAAAGTTACTGAAAAATAAAGTAGCTCTTAAATTGCAAAGCCTTTTTCACACCTAGCTTCACCTTGAAAGTTTCTTACTGACAATTTTCTGCACCATTTGACCTTTGAGAATGACTGTAGCATCTAATCTCTCCTAGCTAGCAAACAACATTAGCCCTTAATTCATCAAACATTAAGGTCATGAGAATAAAGGAAATGGTCCCCCAACCAAAGAGGCTCTTGATTGTTAAACAAATTCTCCTTAAAAGATTTATTGGAAAATGTATAGATACCAGTTTGGAGAAACTGCATACTGATGTTAGGGTGTAAAGGGCAAAAAATAAAAAAGATAATGAAGGAAAAATGAGTCGAGGGGGGTGAAAATGATAACACCATCTATTAAAATTTAGTGCTGGGGCACTGGCAACTCTAGATCCACAACAAGTTGTTATTGTATTGAATGGTAAGTTTCTTTTGAGATGCTTGATAGGACCAGGACATAAATTATCAAAATAGTCTCTTCATAATTTCACTAAAATGATCTGTGAGAAAGTTTGAACAATTTTTTATTCAGCCACTTAAAAAAGCTCTGAAAATATACACTCATTTTGATAGGAGCATGGTCTCACTTTAGCCAAAAAGGGTGTTTATTTGGAATAAAAAGTTAAAGCAATGGAGAGGTTTTTGCATGGGCGTGACTCAAAGAAAATTACCTGGTGATTCAGAAGAAAATTGTGCAAAGCTGTGTCAATCATAACAGACTTAAATTTTAATTAGATGGGTTGGTACTAATGACCCCATCCTGATTAACTTGAAAAAAAAAAAAAAACACTAACTTTACTATTCCCACAAATTCTCTATAGTTTGATAGTAGACCACTGAAAACAATAATCACAAAGAAAGGATACAATTTGTGATGAAAAACTTAGATTGTCTCTACGTTCCCATGTCTCTGACAAAGGACTTTCAGTTTACATTTTTCGGAAACACCACTGATAATATTTCCATGAGAATTCAGTGCTCTCCCTCATTTTAAACACAACAGGTCAGATACATTTTCAAACCAGTAGGGCATTCCTTTCATGTCACACTTTCAAGAATTCTGAGGAAATTTAGACGGAAATAACAGGTGCTGCATGAAAACGAGAACATCGAGGATTGCCTATGACCTTAGATGAGATAAACCATGATATACTTACATTTTACTGTAACCTGAATAGACATTGCCAAATCCTCTGGACCTTGGGCCCAGTTCCTCTTCTTGAATACAATATCTCAACCGGCTGTCTCCCTTGCCTTGATCAACAACTTCAGGAGCTCTCCAGTACAGCTCTATGCTATTATGAGTCACCTTACCAACAATGGGTGGATCGGGACGAGGAGGAACAGACATATTTACTGATAACTGCAGATTCTGTGTTTCTGTCATTGTGAAAGATTAGGGCAAAATGAAGACAATTCAGCATAATCAATTATACATATATAATGTTTTTATTCAAACACACCAATTTAATAATATACAAAAATTTTAATTGCTTCATTTTGATCATACCAATAAATTTCTGCAACCTGATTTTTTTCTTCAAAACCAATTTCAGAATCCATTCACTTAAATTAAATTGTTATTTCAAGATTATGAAGTTTTACCAGGGGGGAAAAAAGCCATAGGATTGTCAGTTCATTTGTGGGCATATTGTTTATTGTTTTGGGGAAATTTAGAATCTTTCAGTTGAACCTCTAAAAATACTTCTCAAGGAATACAAAACTAGAATATTCTGACTACTTCTATGGAAAAAAACAAACAAACATGGTTCTTAATTATTAAAAACTTTCCATATTTAGCAATAACAATATTTTTTTTTTACCCAGGAGTAACCAAAAAAGAATTTTTCCTTTCAATATTGTTACCTTTTGAGCAGAATGGTGTGGAGAAGAAAGAAAAATATCAGCTTTGGGATATTGTTTGATTCAGTACTAAATTATCTAAGCAACCATCACAAAAAATTTAAAGCACATGGTGTGGAGAAATGGCATTCAGATCTTGGGATTGAAAGGGTGAAATTGTTTTCTGATACATTGGAAACCCAACATATGACCACCCATGGGATGCAACCACCTCATTATATCTGTCATTAATTCAAAATCAAATTGTAAACAATTAGTTCTTTGTGTTCCATGCTAATTAAAAATCTAGCAGTCTGGCATTACAACCAAATTTTAAATGTCCAACACCGATCATATAAGCTACGTTTAGATTTGTTATGTAAGTAGTCCAATGTGTAATTTTCCAGAGGTTTCAGTAAGTTTTGAAGTAGATGGCAAAAACTGTGAAATATATAGGCCACAAGTGGTTTGTTTTTTACCATACGTTTGTTAATTGCAGAGAAAATAGACAGCTATTTTGCTTTACATAGACTGCAAATTTTGCCAGTTACTAGTTCTTGTGGAAACCCCTGACTTTCTACATAAAATTTCAAACAATTATCATGAACATGAAATAACAGACATGTTTCATTTCTACCAATTGAAGAAAGTTTTAAAAGTTTTCACTGAATTGGTTATAAAGTTCAAATAACATGCCTGGAAAAATATATGTTTGACTCTTCCTTAGATTCTTTTTTTTTTTCCAGTCTTATACAAGAATTCCAGACCAGATTGTTCTGTGACACAGAAAAGGTGATTGAATCTTTCATCTAAGCAATGCTAAAACCTGATTGGATAGCAAAGTGAAATTATAGATTTCATTTACAAGCAAAAAACCCTCTCTGCATTTTTTTGGCTAATTATCACATACATCCTCATTAAAAACTTGAAAAAAAGAATTTATTAAAACAAGTCAAAGGTGTCATGAACAAAATCAAGAACCAGTGATAAAAACAGACAGTTTGCAAATTAAATTAGCTGCAAACAGTGAGGCTTCATTAACACTTTGCCTCCCAACACAACAATTGATCTAAAAGCAAAGATGTGCAAACTTCACCACAGAAAACTACAGACAATTTCTACCATTTTAGAGTAAAACTGCAGTAGTTGGTACACTTTTATTAACAATCTTTTAAGTTTGGATGTTACATTTGTCATTTCAGACATCTGAATGTGCAAGATATCTGCTGCATGTAATAAAAAATGGTGATTATTTTACCAATTGTTAATCATGTTTTTTTTTATCCACTTAAGAATGCAATAAAAGTTCTAAATTAATTTTCAAATAAAATAGTATGACGTATGTCAGCTTAGTATTGTAAAAAAACATACAGTTAATATGGGCTGCAATGCCGTGAACAAAACTAATTTCGCAGTTTAATTAAAGGTGATTGTAATGTTGGTGTTGCTAATACTATTTAAAATAAATGCATATAGTTGAATCGTTCGATATCTTCTTAAAAATCTAAGGCTTTCTTTTTTAAAAGCCAAAGATGGGACAGTTCGCAATAGCGTAGTGCGTATACGAGGATCCAGTGCTCCCTACGACAATTTAAACTAATACAAGGTACTGCGGCCATTGCAAATGTTAATTCATACAACCGAACAACGGCAAAAATAACAATAACAATAAGCTGATAGGGAAAGGTGTTAATTACCTAATTTATGATCTCTAAAATAGGAAAAATTCAATTTTGAGCTAACCACAACTACAACATAACGGCGACTCACTTGAACAGGGTTTGGTATTAAACTCCAAACACTCACTGATAAGAGCTGACTTGACTCCTTAGGAAATTAAAGAATGTTTTAGATTTTTGGGAAACATTTTACCATCAAAAAAAAATAATCGGAGCAAAATCTCAACGAACAAAAATCTTAAACATAAACTTGAGACGCGCTTGAATGCACGCGAAGTTACACAAACGTTTTAGGTCAAAAAACGAGCAACTTCACGTTAATACCCGAAAACGGCGACCCTATACGATCAAATATTCAACTAAATGCACTCTTGAAAGAACTGTATAAAATCAAAGGAACATCACACCTCCACACGCAACACATCTCGCGAATGACCTAGAATTTTGCACTTTACAAAATAGCATCGTAATTCGTTTCTCGCCAACAGAGCAAAAACATATTTATAAACTAACCTCCACTATTTTAGAAAAATATTTCTTTGGTCTTCTAGGGTTCTTCTTGTAAAGATAACTGGAAGCCGAGAGGTAAATTGGTGACCTTGCACTGATCACATCTCAATCCAAACAACTTGGCACAAGCACCTGGCAATCGCTGGCATCGTCTCCAAGGAAGAATAACAATAAATCACTTGGGGGAGGGTTCTCAGATTTCAATCGTTGTGGAATCATATCTATTTTTAAGTAAATTGTAAATCGCCCCAAAATTTTTGTAAATTTTCCGAAATATTTCTTGAATCATAATTATTTAAGACGGTGGACAGTTAAAAATACAAAACAAAGCCCTTAAAAGCGATAACTTAGCTATTTCTTTCACTTCCCGCGGCCTCCCCTCTTAGTGAAAGAGACAACAGTACGCTGATAAATCGTGGGCTCCACTTTTGACTAGAATGAACTAACTCTGAAGGACACTTTGAAGTTCTCTTCTAGTAATATTTCTGCCTTTAATCAACTGCATTATGGCCGTGTTAGACAGAGTTCTTCGCGTACTAGACGCTCTAGGCCTCTTTCTTATCACTCGCTTTCCATTCATAGAGCTGTTTGTCCTTTTGATGTCCACCGGAGAGGAGGCCGAAAATTTGCCAGGGGCGCGCACGTTGACCTTCAGAGACACTTTACGGCGGGAATACCTACTTGTGTACATCAACGCTTTAATTTTCTTCGTTTGTGGAACAGGCATGACTCTGGACTTGAAGAGAAGGAAATGTGGCCTGGCTGCTGCTTTGCATGTAGTAGTATATACGGGGGTAACTCTATATCAACTCAAAAAATCTTCAGAATATTTGATCGTAAGTCAGTAATTTTGTTCTTTATTTGTCTGATACGGTTACCTTTCCGGTGACCTTCAATTTTTTTTCTTGTTACCATGAAAGCTTCTGATTATATGTTTTTTATTTGATGAAAAGCCCCCTTTGAAATCAAGGAAAGTTATCTGATATGTACCCAACACCCTTATGTAAATTCGTGGGCTGAAGATCAACATATGTTTACATATTTAATTAACTCGCCCTGAAGTCTAAGAATGAAGGGGCTCGGGAGGTTTTCTCCTAAAATCATGTTTATATTATCCTTAGCTAGTGTGGTTGTGCAAAAAATATGATCTAGCACAGAGTATCCATTACTGAAGTATTAGATTAAAAACATGTGAAAGCTTCATGAAATCAGTAGGCATTAAGGGCTATTCACAGGGAATTTTTTGTTTTGAGATTTTCATACATTAACCCTTAAACCGCCATGAGCAACCAAGACAGAATTTCTTCTTACAGTATCAATACACTATCATGCAAACAAATGGTGAGAATGAACTTAAGAATAATATAAATCAGGGGATTATTTGTTGATCTTGTACCAAATTCTCGGAACCAAAATCACAAGAATTGTATGACAGACAGTAAGGAGAGTTTCAAAGAGGTCTTGGGAGTGAAAGGATTAACCTGTAGTTTACAATGGTATCTCATGATGTTTTCCTTTGTTCCAATTGGCTATTGTGATTGTATTTGTTTTCATGTTTCCACAGTCATCCTAAATCAGGCTAAATTGAATCTAACAATTATTTGTTTCTTTAAATAGGTCAGAATGGCAGCCAGATCTGCTGCAGTATGTGGAGGTTACCTATTTGTTGCTGCAGGCCTCACAGACAGTCAGCGAGGCCAGGCCAAGGTGTTTCAAGCTCTAAAAGTTTCTCGACAAATCCTTGCATTTTATCTCTTCTGCAATGCTTATATGGTGTGGGCCAGTGAAGAAGATCGTCTAGCACACATTAAGAATATTCCTGGTGGTCAGTTTATGATTGTCATGGTTATTGCACTGTATGTAATTCCTGCACTTAGTATCTATGCAGGGTATGAAGCAGGTTATTTTGCACGCATTGTTGTATGGCACTTGGTAGTTGTGTCAGCTTTAGTGGATTTTAACACAAAGTACTGGCACAGAAGTTCAAGTCATGTTGCATTTTGGGTTCAAATCCAACATGCTGCAAGGAACCTGGCTGTCATAGGATCACTGCTTCTCTTAGGAAGGAAAAGATATTGGTGAGGACTAAATTGTGGGAGAAATGTGGCTAGAAAGGGATACAGATCTTCATGTCGTGGAATTCTGTGACATCACTGCAAACATAAGAGCAAAGTTTTTGAACACTCAGAATGAATCAAGTTGTCAGAGTTACAGGACAGGGTACTGGAAAAATGAATACAGAAACTTTGTCTCACAACTCATCAAGGGAATCACAATAAAATACAATGCTTATGAACATTTCCTTGTTGCATATTGTTATTTTTCCACATGTTTAAGTCCTTTCTGAACTCAGTTGGCTGGGATCCCTTTGCGCAGGTCATGGGAAACACACCTTACTCTCACACTCAGTAACTCTCTCCAGCGTGAATTTTTGAATGATGATCTGCAATCTGTCAGGTCAACTCAACAAAATGCAGAAGTTGGGGAGGGGACAGCCAGGGCTTGGCCAATAGGAAACCATCTTTGAGGGTTGACAAATCTCCTAGTTGCTTTGTAGTGAGGGTTGCTTGTCTGATGGCAAATACTTAAATGAAGATTAATGACTCCTTAACTTTTCTGTAACTTCCACAGCAAGGATTTATTACCCCATAGCTGTTTGTTATTAACTCTTTCCACCCTAACACCAGTATGCACATTCTCCATACTGTTTCTATACATTTCCCAAGGTGCTGACAAGTCGAATTTGTTTAACAATTAGAGCTTCTCTATATGCATGGTGACCATTTCTGTTATTTTTTATGACCTTAATGTTTTTATGTCTGAATGGTAGATGCCAGTCACTCTTTGGAGTCAAAGGGTTATGTAAGTCAAAGGGTTTCCCTTACAGTATGTCAAGTATCCAAGATAAGAAAATTCCCAGCTAGTACACTTCTCTGGCTTCATATTGATACCCCAAGCTGCATTTCATATGGTCATGGAGAATACACAGTTATTAATTAAAATGTTTCTCCAGCTTTAATCCTCGATGAAAACCTTGCCATTATAATAAATAATCATCAGAACCAACCATTTCAAAGAATTTTTTTTATTACTGCATGTGCTACAATACTAAATCTACAAATTCAGAAAATATTATTTTTACAATTCTAAAATAGCCTGTATGGCAGGCACTTGCCAAGAAACTAAGAAAACCATGCAAAAGAGAGCAATCATGGAAGAGTTCTCCTTCTGTAGTGTGCCCATGAATCATGTCCTTTTAATTGAGTACTTATCATAGCAACATTATCCAGCAAAAGTGCTGAGAGTAGAGTAACTGATCAACCAGAAGAATTGAGAATGGAAACTACCCAGGCTGACATTACAGATTTGAAAAATTTGCATAAACTGTTAGATTGAGAAATTTTACTTCAATTTACAATATACTTTGACTTTGAGTTTGACTTAGATGTCACTTCACTGAGTTATTTTTAAGCAATAACAATTGATTTCTGAGCACTAATTTGAATTATGAACATAAAAATGAAGGCATTGATTTACAGAAAAGTTCACCAAATTCTCACTTTCGTCTTCGCGATCTTGTTCTTCTGGAGACTGAATCATTTTGTGGTTCCCTAACTGCCTTGTTGTTAGAAGCCAGCTTTTTGGTATCCTGTGAAACAAAGGTAGCAGCAAGGCAAGGCTTTTAGGTAAAGTAAAGGTAACAATAAAATGAGAACATGTACAAAGTCATTAAAGATACCTACAGAGTTATTTACATCACTTAAATAAAAGGTTTCTTCCCTAGCTTTCACTCCCAAGATCTCATAAGTGATTCTCTTTACTGTCTGCCCTACAAGTCTTATGATGTTAGATCAGAGAATTTGGTATTAGATCAACTAATAATTCCCTCATTGATATTCTTCTTAAATCTCATCACTTGTCTGTTTGATATTACATTGATATTGTGATGAGAAATTCTGTCTTGGTCACCCATGGGAGTAGAGTGCTTAAAGCCTCAACACACTGGTTTCAAGTCCTGGAACAAGTCATGAACTAGTGACAAGTCATATTGTTTGGTGCCGAGGAGTTTTGTAACAAAATTTAAACTAGTTTGAATGTTGCCACTGGTTCTAGCAACAAATTTTTTTTTCAGAGAAAATTCTCTAGTGTTTAATATACATGTCTATTTCATTACTTAATAACTGGTTATCAAAGCATTTTCCTTGAGATCATGCAGTAAATACTGGCAGTCAATTAAACTTACTGGGGATTTGATATTCCATGTCCTTGGTTTTGGAGGCCTGTAAAATTCAGTTTAAAATAATTGTGTGAATCATGAAAAAGTATACAGTAAACAGCGAGGTATGTTGGGTTAGCACTGTACCATAGGCAGCATTTAGTATGTGAATTTTGTGGTTCTAACTACAGTTTTGTAATGGAAATAAATATAGTATAAATTTTGTGGTTCTAACTACAGTTTTGTAATGGAAATAAATATAAATAAAGAAGTTTTGATGAAAGGAAGTAGTCAAGTATTACAGGAATCTACAGGCATAGGATACTAGTAAGGTTATTCAACACTTAGCCCACACCCAAGGTATCCTGACAAATCGCTGGTGCACTATTGCTGGGTAACCAGAGTAAGTAATATACATATTCCACGTCATTTTAACATCATACTAATGTATTATAATTATTACCAACTTATTTCTCTTTCATCTTACTTTTGCTCAGGTGACATCAAACAGATAATCTGCTGTTCCTTTTCTTCTTCATCTCCATCATTACCTTCATCAACCTTGCCTTCTATCCAGCTGGGTGGGGCAACTGAAATAAACAGGATAAAATGAAGCAACCAGCACATCAAAATTCTTTGTCTATTACAATGTATTCTCCTGTTAATTTACACTAAGCTCTTTCTGCTACATTTCTTAACCCTTTAACTCCCAAGATCTGATTGTTAATTCTCCTCTCCTGCTACTACACATTACCTTGTTAATTAGTTTTGAGAATTTGGTGTTGGAGCAAGATAACATCTCCTGCCTGATTAATTTGTGTATTCTTAATAACTGTTTGTTGGATAATGTATCGATATTTTAAGGAGAAGTTACATGTTAATCACTTCTGGGAGTCAAAGGATTAAACAAATTCTTCTATTTCATCCCAGTTTCTTGAAACTTTATGTGCTAACTTTCATGCATCATTTCAGTCTATAATTCTAGACTGCATGTTTCTGGTCTTTTATAGCCTCTGACGAGTGCTGCCCTCTGGTAGCAATCTACTTCCAAAGCAAAGACTAATCTGTTCCAACTATATCACAATCTTACAAGCTAACAGTTTCTGTGACTTAATATATAACATTCAGGCATCTCTTTGTAAGTGATTAACATGTAACTTCTCCCTATAATATCCATACATTACCCAGCAAACAGGTAACGAGAATTGGGTTAACAAGTTGCTAACTTGATCTAACAGAAACACCACATTCTGGTAACTAATTTACAAGGAAATGTGCAGCAGCTAGAGGGGAGAATTAACAATCAGATCTTTGGAGTTAAAAGGTTAAACAAGGAAAAGAGAGAGAGAATGTAACTTGTCACTGACTTTGTCATCTGATTTCCTACTATCGATTTTTGCAAAGCTATTTGTTAGTTCTTAGATGTTTGAATTAACTTTGCTCTAGAAAGACTACTTAAACAATTAAATCCAAAGGTGAACACCATTCAAATTCTCCTCACAAAATTGATACACCCTCATGCTGACAGGAAATGAAAATTTAGACAATCATCAACCAGATAATATCACTTGGATGAATGTAACACTAAATACTCTCTACCAACAAACAAAGAAATGTGTAGTCATCAATTATGAACATTTGCTTTCAAGTCTTTACAGTAGGAGGATTGAAAAAAGTTCTGAAGAAAACTATTCTTACTAATACAGTCAGCATGCTAGACCAACCTTTGCCTTGTGCATATACTCGGATTGGTAATGATGTTGGTATGGGAGATGGTGGTGGTGCAGTCGCACTTGTGTTCACACAAAATGAAATCCTTGATAAATGACTTTGTTCACCTACAATAAATGGAATAAAAAGATCAAAAGATAAATCCACCAAGACAAACAAACAAATTCCAGTTCTGGTCAAATGTATCATGTACGACTATAACCAAATACCATATTTATTTGCCTATAAACCAAGCTATTTTTTTGGACCTTTAACTCAGTTAGGAGAAGTATATCCAAAGAATGAGTTTCACTCAGATCTTCATTAAGGAATTGAATTGTACAAATTTCCAAAGAAAGATGCTTTCAAAAGATTACTTCCAATTAAAAGGTGAACTCCTTCTGAGAAACTTGGGTCTTGGCTTATATATGAAAAAATTTTTCAGAATATTTAACAAGCTTACACTCATCGTCCGGTCTCTTAAGTTTGGTGTCTTGGCTTAAAGCTATGCTTGGCTTATAGGTGAACAAATACAGGAATTCATTTGTCAAGTGCCTAGTTCAAAATCTTTGCCAAAATACCAACCACTCACCTTCTGGAGTGCTGGCTGCACGCTCTTCATTCTCCCTGTAAAAGGCCCTGGAATTAGTGGGCTTAAGAGGTGTGCGCTGCTCTGGTGCATCTGTAACAGCACTATTCTCATGAGGACTACCCATTGAGCTGATACTCCTCCTTTTTTGTTGTTCTGCAACCTTATGAGCTTGATCCACAGCTTTGCGAGCAGAATTTAAAATAGCTGCAGTGGAGAGGGTATATCGGCGCTTTGCTTGCAGCGGACTGATCTGAACAGTAAGGTTGGATTTGAGAGCATTGTTTATCAGACTGGGGTTAGAAGCCAGGGTGTGTCGTCGATTGATCTGCAGCTGGTTTATAGCACCAGTAAGAGGTGTGATGTTAGGCCTGTTGGATCCTGTGGTAAAATCCACAATCACATGATTAATTTAATGGTTCATTCCATATTGGTTTGCTATCTCAGTTCTGTTTTGCAACCAGCACTTAGCTAATTCACGCTTGCAGTACGGCAATAGTACCAGTAAATGATTACTGCAATCCCTTTATGCACAGTAATCAAGAAGAATTATCGAGCCTATGTTAAGACTGTATCATTCACTTCAGCCTCCAGAGATATGACAAACCTCCATCTTGATAATTCTTGTATAAAAACAATGATTATCATAATTAAAACTGACAGCTGACAACAGTATCCAAATGTAGTCCATGATGTTTAGAACAACTACACAATATTTTTGGCATAAAATTGTAGTTTCTGATTTTTATACAAGCTTTTACCATTTTTAGGTGAGGGTGTTGCACTTCGCAGCTGAGGAGCAATGAAGTCTGCTGCTTGAGGAGTGTTTCCATCTGAACCAGGCTGTCTTGTGTTGACCTTATATTCATCATGGTAAAAATGAATAATTAACAACTACTCACTGAGATGGAGAATGGTATGTACTAAAACAGTGGATAAAG